ACAGCTGTCACTGCTGGTGCGGTTTTACTGATCTCTTTGTCGTTATTTTTAGTAATCTTCGTTTCAACGTCTTCGACGCTGAACGGACTCCTCCTCACTGTATCAGCAAGTTCTACCTTCGTTCCCTCAATCACAGCTGTCACTGCTTGTGCGGTTTTACTGATCTCTTTGTCATTATTTTTAGTAATCTTCGTTTCAACGTCTTCGACGCTCCTCCTCACTGTATCAGCAAGCTCTACCTTCGTTTCCTCAATTACAGCTGTCGCTGCTGGTGCGGGTTTACTGATCTCTTTGTCATTATTTTTAGTAATCTTCGTTTTACCGTATTTCCTATCTCCCTTTTCAGATTGCTTAGTCTCAAATTCTTGTGTACTGGCGAAAATGCTCTCGGTCAGTTCAACTTTTGTGTCTGTCTGCGTTAGAGTGGTAGTATTTGTTGCAATTTCGGCAGCAGTGTTCAAATTATCAACCAGGTTTTTCTTGCGTACTTCTTGTAACTCCTCCCTCTTGGTTGCTTCCGTGAATGACATGACTGATGAGGTCACGGATTCAATGAGCGCGTGTAAATATTAATGTTAATATTAATATTGTGCAACAAAAAAGGCAATTTTTGAATGGAATTGCGAATACTCATGGTCACGTGGGACATGTTCGTGATTACACGTAGTATACCACTAATAATAATAATACTAACACTAAATAGTATTAATGACATCAAACAATTGGGATCTCATTACTCATGGAACAATATCAACAATATTTCATTCTCAACCTCACAAGTCTGCCTCATAACAACTGCAACAAACGCTGAAATTCATGAAAAATGCAAATTTATTTTTTCCTCCTCTTCTTTGGTGTTTCTGTGTACTATAAAAGTTATCAACAGTGTACTGTGGTGACGGTGTTGAGGCCTCCAATCCTTATAGTCATCATTATCAGCCATACTTTTAAGAGTGATCACTTTCCCACCTTATTTATCACATGGTTCTGTAAAAGGGCCAACATATTTAAGGCAAATACGGGGGAAAAATCGGGACTAAAATTCTCTGACGTCTGTACATTAATTAACATGTGTAATTCTCGTCGCGTAAAATGCATCGAAAGTAATCGTCAGACTATATTACATTATTGGGACCAAGGCATTAGAAACAGTGATCGAGTTCATGCTCTGACAAAGATAAACAGGTCTACATAGGCAAACTCGATAAGTCGGACTCGTCGGGGCGGACTCCTGTGTCCGACTTAACGAGGTATCCGATATCCGACTTTATCATAATAATAAATAATAAACGTACTTTTTATTTGCATTTTATGAGCTAATACAAACTGTTTTAAAATGTAAATATAATAGATAATTCAATTTTTATAAAAAGTTTCTAAGGTAGGCTGTTTTAGAGGAGCGATTCGCTTTCTTTGAATTTGACACTGAAGGTCTTTCATTTGTTTTTTCTACGTTCATAATTGCAGTTTGGCTGTAAATTGGAATGCGTTTTTGAAAGCAATTGACTTTTATTGTCTTTCTGAACGATTAAGACAATTGTATAAATAAATGATGACAAAATATTGTTTAGATGCTAAATAAATAATGACGCAATTATTGGGTAATTATTTTGTTACGTTACTAAAATAGTAAAGACTAACCGTAAAAAATCACGTGGTCCGACTTATCGCGAGTCATTTGTTATAGTCTGGTCGACAGGATCGTCCGAGTTACGACTTATCACGATTTTATATATGTCGTCCGACTTATCGAAATTTTTTAACTATTCAAAAAAGGGGCTGAAAATTTTTGTCCAAATCCGACTTATCGAGCGTCCGACTCATCGGAGTTTGCCTATGTACTGTCTTTTGCAATCTTAAAAAATTACGTGAAAAAGAAAATGTTGACCACAGAAAAGGGAATGGGCGACGCAAGAAAACAACAGCGGAGGCATCGAGAGGGATAGGTCAATATGTCCGAAGGGATTCTTCCTTATACCTCAAAACAAAAGGGTATATAGATGTCTCTACTTCAACTGTCAGTAGACATTTAAAGGAACACGACTATAAAAAGGTCTTACCGATTGAAGGGGTTGAATGGGCGAGATAAAGACAGCACTTAGCCTTCCAACTGTTTAGAATACCAACCATAGAGCGTTGGTATAAGGGAGAAAGATCTTTGCTTGGGGCGGAGTAAAAGGGAGAAAAGCCTATATTGTTTTGCCCAGACAATTATTAATCGGAATTGCAGGCGCAAACAAAATTCCCTTGTCATTTGTTTGTGTAATCTTTTCCAAAATAAATCAATTTATACCGTGTAAAATACAATTAATTGTGTGTTGAAACTGTTATTGTTATTCTTTCCACTTTAGCATTGCTTGTTTATGTTAACCTTTTCAAGTATATTAGTTAGGCTGCCAAGCACTTCTTGAAAAATATGCTCCTGAAATTATATACTAATTTGCTAATACTAATAGTTCAGACTTTAAATCTTTGGGCCATTGTTAAAAGACATGTGAGAAAATGCATACCCAAAGATCTAGATTAATTATGACGGAAAAATGGAGTTCTATTTCAGAAACTCTCTCTAATTAGTTTGGTAGAATCAATAAAGAGACTGTGCTAGAAAATGAATTCCCCAATAATAAAAAACTACTTGTTTCAAATGATATATATCATGCGACATTTTAATTTGCAAACTAAAACTACAAGTGAAACTCGATATAAGAAGCTCTCGATATAAGAAACACTAATTAAAATTTGATATAAGAAAGTTGATCTAAAAAATAGTTACTAATAAAACTCTCGGTATAAGAAAGACTCTAAGATTTTTTACTATGGGTCCCGATCACTTTCTTATATCGCGAGCCACTTGTATTTTGTGTGCTTGACCGTGTCAGATTTTGGGGCAACGTAGAATTAATTATCACGTGTCAGAAAAGTGAGCTACGGCTATGCGCAGTAAATTAATTAAGAACTAGTCCATTAGTGTTAGTATTAGTATTAGTATTAGTATTAGATATAGAATCGTGCCGATCCGATTTATTAGATTCGCCGTTACAGCACATTTATCACGTAATCGATGCGTAGCATACAACTTATGGGGTATGTTGTTGCATTATTACATCATAGGTGCAACCGGAGAGAATAAAAATCACATGAGTATTCAGGTCAAAAAACTCTCTGAATATAAGAGTATGAGACTAGCATGTTCACGAAATAGAAGTGTATTAATCAAGTCTGGTTTAATCGGGTAAAGGACGAATTACGTAACGATTATCCAATCAGATGTACTTAAATTTATTACGGTTTCTTGTAATGAGAAGATTTCAATGAACAAAATTCACGTATTGCCAGATGAGCCAAGTCAGTCTCTTGACCTAAATCCAATGGATCAGAGCTAGAAAGAAAAATAAGAAGCACCACAGGCAATAAAAAAAAGTTGCAGAATTGGAGAGTGCATTACAGAAAGAATGGGACAAGAGTCGCTATTATGTAGGAATCTCTATCAATAAGTGTAACTGTTTATTATAGGATTGCCTCTATATACTGTGAAACTAGTTTACATAAATTTGTTATGTACAAAATTACTGTACAAAATTACAGTACTATGGCAGAAGTATTCCAGGAGAAAAAGTTGCTCCGTACGTTTAAAGGCCAACTCACCAGGAATATCAACGCGCCATTACGAGGCCTGCAATAAAATCGCGATAGACTGATTTATAACTCGATTCTGCTGGCAAAAATACAAGAGATTGGGATAATGCGATTGACATTTCCATTGCGGCGACCCTTTTAAAATGTCGGCTGGTGCTTAATATTCTTTTAACTGTGCCATTGAAAATATACACGTATGTTCGGATCTAAAGAGAGCTCACGCAAACTTTTCTCTCGGAATCTTTTTTGAACAACCACAGTAACCTATTTCAAAGACTTATTATTTGACTCGAACTAGAATTTTCACATTCTTGGAACGTTGACTATAATAGTATTATGGCCCCTATTATGAATAAAATCGATTCACGTGACAGGAGAAGCCAAGTTCAGCTCCAAGCATTATTGCATTCGTGTTGGACAATTATTCCTCGCTTCACACAAGCTTGCCATGTCGGTCATTAAGCAAACTGATCGATTGAATGAAAGAAAGTGATAGTGCAAAGGAATCAATCTATTCGAGTGTATATTTCGGATTGCCCTACAGACATTAACTGTCACGATCCCTCGTATCGGTGAAAAATTTATAGTCATTTCAGTGAATTCAAGTAATGTTTATTTCGGCCAAATCATTAGGGAGTTTCTCAAACATCATATTTACAGAATGGACCAAAGAACTGTATGCAAATTTTGTTTTATTTTAGTTATTCAAATTTCAAACTTCTTGCTATCTTTGCCGGCTGCCTTTGCTCGCTTAGCCATCATAGCTTGAGACTTAGCACCCATAACACCACCGCCCCACAGCTTACGACTTTCCTCGAACTTTTCATTGTAATTAATCTTAATAGAAGTAATCAGATTTGACAGCAAGTTCTTATCTTCATCTCTGATGTCAACAATGGCCAATGCAGTCGCAGTCTTCTTGTGAATGACAGTTCCCAAGCGACTCTTTCCTTTGACAATTGCATAAGGTACACCCATCTTGCGACAAAGAGCTGGAAGCCACAGGACGATCTCAATAGGATCCACATCATGAGCAATCAAGACTAACTGCGCCTTCTTAGCCTCAATCAAAGCAGTAACGTGATTGATACCGAATTTGACGACATAAGGTTTTGCAGGCGCGACAGGCTTCTTGCCTTCAGCTTTAGCTGCCGCAGCTGCGCGAAGACGATTTCTCTTTTCGACTTTGGTTTCTGGGCGGTATTTGTGGAGGAGAGTGAACACTTGCCCGGCCGTATTCTTATCCAATGCACGTGTAAATTGGTTAATAGCAGGAGGAACTTTGAGACGCCGATTGAGAATTTTACGCTGTCTCTGGAGGCGTACATATTCGGGCCATTTTACAAAGCGAGTTAAGTCACGCTTTGGCTGAATATCCTGACCTGCGAAAAGAACGATATTCAAATTATTATATATATTTACAGATTTCGATGCTTATCAACATGTCATGCAATACTAACCAATTCCAAAATTTCTCGGTCGCTTTTCAATCAAAGGGTTCTTAACAACCTTTCCTGTATCCTTTTTTCGTACGCTAAAAGGGGCTGGGGCTACCCTCTTTGAGCCTGGCTTGGTTTTTGCCTATGCATTATCCAGGAAGAAATAATCAATTCATCCAAACATGTTTGGTGAATATATTGGGGGTCATTGAGACAAAACATAAAAACTTTGTTAGAAAGTTTCTTTCTTTTATGTTTTGCTCTAGCAAGCTTCTACATATTCCATAAAGAATATTCAAAGTAGAAAGCCGTAATGTAATTAGAAAGATAATCCGCAGATGTATCCTTCCGTCTTGGCCGTATTTACGAGACCTCTGCTATTCTCTATAAACATACGACTCTTCTTAAATGCATTCTATTGTCGTGAAGTGGCGGATTGCACTTGGGAAGAGTTCGCACCATTGGAAAGACTTGACAATATTACTTCAGATGAATACAATACCATTTCAACCTAAATATCGTTAGCGTTTATAAGATGGATGGATTGAGCTATTAGCCGGCCTCGCAGAGATATGGTATTATGTAGAAAGAGCAAGTTTTTGCGGAATGTGAATTTTTTTAAAAGTGTGATCTGATGACGTAACTTGTGATTGGATGATACTTTAATTTTATCGCGTGTCGCATATTTAGCATATATAACAATACGAAAGACCATGCAAGTGCAAATCAGTTGCCTTTAAAGATCTCACCAGCGTTAAATACAAGCATAATCCAAAGGCAACGCCACGCTGCAAAAGATCACAGCAAACTATGTCTTTTCACTCGCAAAAAGCTTCCGCAGCTTCTAATAACAACTCTTTCACAGGATCTCCTTCCACCCCACGACCAGCTGCTGCCTCCTACTTTCCGGTTATTCAGACCCCACGAACAGGCCTCAATCCTTTCCTTCAAACACCAACTCGTTATGGAACTGGCACTTCTTCTTCCGTCACAGGATCAAGATTACTAGCAACAGCAGTACCAGTACCAGCAGCCCCAGCACCAGCAGCCCCATTAGTTCCCCCTGTTCCGCTAACACCGGCAGCGACATTAGCAACAACAGCACCAGTACCAGTAACAGCGTCGCCAGCGCCGCCGACGCAGTCAAAACCTTCAGGAAGAACAGGGACACCGTTTACCCCTGGTAGTGAAGCGAATTTAATAAATCGGTATAGCAGATCCTTTTATACAATTGAAGCTACATTGTCGTATGAAGATCCATTATGTCCTCCGAATTTAATGCGAAAAATTCTAAATGACAAATTCAAATACCTTGAAGAGTGTCTCGGTAGTTTTGATAAGAAGAGTCTCAAAGCAACCTCACAACCAGTTGTTCAAAAGTTTGATATCAATGACGCGTCAATTGTAAGTAACCTATTACTTCTTGAAAAGAGCGAATGTGAAATGCTAATTCAAAGGTTCAAAGCCGAAAATGAATTGTGGACAGAGTATACGGAGGATCGATTACGTGAGGCCATGGTTTCTCACTATGCTACCGAACGAATAAAACTCGTCGAAATTGTCTGTGATTTATTTCGGATATATGACAACCCCGAGACATTCTATTATGAAGTTGCTACGGATATTGTGGGAAGACTTTTGCAGACAGGGACGTTTGATGACCACATTTTCGCTCAACTAGTTCGAAAGTTTGATACTAATAGCATACCGCCAGAATATACACGATCGGGGTGGACGCAACAGACATTGAAGGAACAGAAGGCATTATTGGAATTGCTGTATTTACGATATTACGTAAAACCCTGCCCGCCCAGACGCATTGTAGATATATTCACCTTTTTCGCGGAAAATAGATTTGGGCTTGACCAATCTATCGAATTGTATATTGATAGAGTTTCCCTACCATTGGTTGAAACCATTCATCATCTTTGCCAACTGCTCACAATATCTCTACTATACGAAGAGGAATTTCTTGATGACGAAGATAATCAGCTTCCGTATCAACCAAATGACGAGAAACTATTACATTCACCCCAAGTTCTGGTTCGAATATTTGAACTAGTTACCAACACAAGCGAGGATAAATTGGATTCGCTATTTCTCCTGGCTTGGGCCTCGTATGCATTGAGCTTGGTTGAGATATTAAACAGAGATTGCCCGGACGCATACGATGACGTGCAAAGAACAATTACACCAAATGTTGCTACACATTATATTATCAGATCAATCAAAAGGGGTGTGTTCGATGACTTAGCTAGCCTTGTCAAGGGACCGTGTTTCAAGGAAGACGTAACTGATCTCGGTGGATATCAAAAAGTTACAAAAGGCTTGATGGATATTGTTATGGTGCATGCACCCCCGCAATATCTAGGAGAAGAAGTGTTCATTTCTTTTGTGGATTGCTTTGTAGCGCTGCACAGAAGAAGTAGCAGTTTAAGCACATTGTTCTGGGATGATTACGTCTATCATGGTGGAGATGTTTTATTGGATGCGGCGATGGCTAAGTTTCCGAGCAACCCTCACTCATTAATTCAGTTGTTAACAGCCCTTGCGTCTAACGAGACGTCTGCTGAAAATGTATATACGTATTTGCGAAATATTTCTACATGTACTACGGAAGTTAGTGAGCAGCAGATACATTTCTTGAATATCGAGCAAGGCATAGTAGAATTCATTGGAACTGATCCTCGTGATGACACATATGAAAGTATACTCGAGATGCCTGTAAAAACGTTGGGATTATTGGTCGAACGACTCCCAGGGAATAAGTACAGGGTGCAATGGGAGGTTTCATACTCTGCGTGGAGCCTTTTTCTGAGAATTCTGAGCATATTTTCACGTGGTGAACGTAATCTGGTTTTAATCAAGTCTGCATCGGAAGAAGACGACAATTTCTCCATTATTGGCGATATTATTTCTTTAATTAAGGAGTTGGCAGTTAACATAGCCTCACCACCCGATGTCAATGCTATGGTCGACATGTCGCTAGATATCCGTTTATTTATTGAGGATCTTAGTAAGCAATTCCAGGTCACGGAGAAAGAAATAATAATTCTATTCTATCAAGTAATTGATCGCTTGGCGTTGACTAAACCACCGCCGATCGACATGATTGGTGACTCTTTGCAAATATTGAGAGCACTGTTACCGGCTTATTACGAAGATGTCTGGTACATTCGACAGACTGTGCTACTAACCCGCAAAGTATCCGTTACACCAGCCGGACATACTGATGGAAAGTTAAAGCAGATACTCAGACAAGAATGTATCAAAGCTCGTTATCCAGTGACCTTGGCTTTTCTAGATTTGATACTTGATCTTGTGACTCATACACAACATAGATGCTTATTCAAATCAAAGGCGGTGGAGAAGATTAAAGACATTCAATTGGACGTACTTCTATCATGTCTCTCATATATTTCTGATGTCATTTTTTTGTCGTTCGATAACTGGCGATACAATGATCCCGCAGAACGATTCTTGATAGCTTCAAAAATGTTAACAATTTTCACGAGAATTGTTATTGGTACTTCAAACAAAGAGCGGGATCCTGCTTATGACGATCCTATGTTAGACGTTTCGGGCGATGAAATACAGACATCTTTGCAAGATTTTATTCTGCGAAAGTTTATCTATGATGGCGCGCATCAGATAATGCCATTATTCTTACTTATTGCAAAAGCGCGTGAGACTAGCCTTTATTCTGGAAATCAAGTCAGCGTAAGAATGCTTGACGCAGCTAATTCTGCGTTGGAAATGTCGTTGATGTTTTTGTTTCAGTTATTGAAGAGGCGAGAAGTTGCCAAAATTCAAGTGCATTTAATAGAGAATCTTTTGCTGGATAGAATTAGTGGTCCTGATAACAAAGGATGGATTTTTGTTCTGGCTTCATGCCTCAAATCGTCGCACTCTTTTGTTCCAATGCTAGTTGCGGAGATACTAACTTTGGTATTTACGATAGCTATGAAATGGCAAAAATCGTTCGTTGGATATTTCGGAACGCCCACCGAAGTCAGGGAAATGGAAATATTACTTATGCGCTTATTAGAAGATATCTTTAATGGTAATGAAATGATTCAAGCAGCTATATTGAATTTCGTCACTGTTTCTACAGAGGCGCAGCTCGGTTTATTTATTACGGAAGCGTCCACGGCTGATAAAAAGGGCAAGAAAATCGAGGATTCGAAAGATGTGAAGCCGTATCCCCTCGCGAAAGCAGTTCTTAATATATTAGACAAATGGAAAGTTATACAGGAAGATACGCCGATGATTTTGGTGGCAACCCTTCGATTAGTATATGGTTTATCCAAAGGAGGAAAAAGTCCTACTCATTCTTGGCAAGTCCTAAGAACGAACGACAAGTTCTGGAACATAATAACTACAATTCTTTTTGATGATTTGGATGACGCATATTCAATGGAACAAACGCTGGACGATGCTAACATTGACAACGGTTATGACCATGATCTCATAAGAGTGTCTGGATACAAACTTTTAGTTCGGGCATATATATTTAAAATATTATCTATGGAAATACGGACAGCCTTTGCGATGAGAAAAGGTATTCCATCTACGTCTTCTGATCCATTTAGTGTGTTGCCAAGCCCCACTTTGCGAAAAACGTTTGAAGAAATACGACAAACGAACAAGTTGCTTACATGGCTTCAACTCTACGGTCAAGTAAATTTGTCGACAGACGATCCGGAGATTGTAAAGAAGAAAAGAGCTCACGGTTCTATAAAGTTTGAACGGCTGCGTGTTCTTTATTGGAGTGACGAGTATGATGTCACTCGTCAATATGGGGACAACTTCGCCTATGACAGGCGTGCATTTCTGTCCAGCGGTCGTGTCACTGCAGATATTCTAGACATTGGAAATGTACTCGCTTCAATAAGTCATCGTAAGTCACGCATGGATGCTCAAATGCGCCTGCTTCGATCGTGGAAAGAATTCGCTGAATTAACTTCTGCCCAGTTCTCTACAGTCTTTTTTAATCCAAAGAGAGAAAAGGACTTGTTATGGTTGATGCTAAATGAATTGGGTACAAATCTGGCTAAAATTACAGCCGGTAAAGATCAGGATGCATCATCCCTGAAATATGAGCTTGCCTCCTTATTTGCTAAACTCTTAGAACAAACACCAATGGACAGCGAGAATTTTTTGTGGTCTTTTACTGAAATGGTTATTCTACTACATGATGCGATAATGAGTGACGTGCGTGTATTTGAGGAGTCTATTGAAGGACATATAACACCTGCGTTTCACCGTCCTATTTTACAATCTCTACTTCTCTGTCTTCGAGGTGCAGAAATTGACAAGATTGAAGCGGGTGAAAATAAATCTTGGACGCTGTTTCATGATAGCTGTCACAAATTGCTTAGTAGAATATGTTCGATACTTTCGCAGTTAATCACTGACAGACTTCCAAACGGAGAAGTAAGCAAGGACGTCGTTACAATTATCGCTATATGTGAGAAACTATTGAATTCAAAATTCATACCGTACGAACAAGTGTGGCTGGAGATTCTCGATCAACACGACATTATTCCGAAATTTATAAACTTATTTGCTTTATCATTGTCTCAGTCACAGCAGGATCGACCAGTGTTTGCAGATAGCGCAATGTATTTTCTCTTGTTTTTGGCGAAACATCCTCTTACTGCGAGTCGAATGTGGAATTCAGGGATCATGGCTTTCTTTTTGATTAATCCCCTTTCAGCTGCACTACAAGAAGGTCGGCTTCAACCGAGTTTATCTAATGATGATCATGCTGTGTGGCAGTTAATGCTGGCTATAGTAACGAGAATGCTGTGTACTATAGGTGATAACGAGGATCTCTTGCGTGACGTTATCGGATTTGTTCATCTGTACGGCAAGCAAATTAGGCGAGCACTGAGTTGTAATGCTCCGATTAATCTGAAATATTTGAAGGAAATTGAGCGGACGACAATGTTACTGTATAAGTTATCGTTATATGTTTACCCATTTGGCGCAATAGATATAAAAGACATGAATGAGCATTATACAGGCTGCTCTACGCTATTAGTAAAGATTCATCACCTATTTACTCATCCAAGATATGCATCTGTGGTTGCAGTTCCTTTGACACCCGAAGAAAAACAACTATCTGCTCAACCGATTCTTAAAGAGATCCAAGGGGCATGGTTTAAAAATGAATCTATCAACGTATTTCCTGACTCGGAACCTTCAGTGGAGGACAAACGAACTAAATTCACGGAACGCGTAAGACAAGAACTATTATTCATTTCACGTAATATACTAGCTATATACGTTCAGTTGACAAGAACGCAGGACGTTCTATCAATGATCACTAAAATTGCTTTCTCCGAGATCGTACTTTATTTTGAACCTGATCTTAGCACACCTCGCCCCACCGTGGCATCGACAGATGGAACAATTGTAGATACTAGAGATTTTGGTCCGGCGACCATCCTCACATTGATTGGGTTTATAGAGCATGGGCTAGTATTGCTCAAGATTTGGGAGCAGTGTTTGAGCGTGTCGATGTCATCGGATTTAGGCTTCTGGCGGGATACCTGGAAGATTACCTTGATGCTAGTCGAATACGCATCTGTGTTGGCGGCATCGCAGCTAATTGTGAGCCTTGGGGTACAACCGCAATTGGAGGATGATATTAATTATTTAGCGATAGAAGTCAAGAATCGATTAGAGAAGGTAGAAAATGTTATCGGTAGATTGAAGAGAAGTCAGAGCAATAATGCTAAATTTGCAAAAGATGACTTGACTTCGTCGGAGTTCATGTTGGTAGGTTTGAAACGTGTTATGAATGAAAAGTTCCCACTCGATAGAGATGAAATGATGATATATCGATAGGACATCCAGATGGACGTCCAAAAATTCTGGTCTTTAATGTTTTATATTTAGTAATAGAAATTAAAAAGGGTTTAATATCACATCTGTTAATAATTTTGTAAACAGTTAATAAACATTATTATTATCACAAATTGTAAATTTATTCTTCCTACGTCCCTTGAAATTGAATCCAATATGAATAAATAAAGTTAGTCTTTACTATGCATATCGTATCCCATATAGGTTCAAGT